TTTTCTTATTAAGGTGCTCTGGGGAGCCCGAATGCTAATCTAGCTCTTCTCAGTCAGGGAGGAGGGCCAAGGGGGTGAGTTTGGGGGAATCTCAGCTGTCCTCACACCCATGGAGATCAACACAATGGAGTTCAAAGTGGCTCTTTTTAGGGACAAATAGGGATATGATTTGGTGGACTCTTGGGATATAATAACCAAAAGTAAATGATGCAGTAATGCCTAGTCACAGAGGAGTTATCAGGGGCTGTGCAGGAGGGAGAAACACTCAGGGATGTAAGCAGAACCCATGGCACATTGGCTCAGAACACCGAGCCAACACCCTGGGCTGGGGGAAAGAAAGGCACCACATAAGAGACTTACAACCTGATTAGAAAGCTTAAGAGGGAGGGGAGGATAGGGAAACACCCATCTCATCTATGAGAAAAAAATTTCCTGAAGGCGGGGGAACAGAAATTATGTCCAGCTAAATGGTGAGGACTCTGTATCTATACATTCTGGATCCAGTTGGCTGGGAGGGGCCCTTATCTTCTGAAGCCACAGGTGGTACACCAGAGTGGCTGGCGGCTGATATGAGGAGTACATTATGAGGGTGGCAATATTTTTTAGCATTTAAATATATTCCAGCTTCAGGGAATTACTTCTCTAGGTGGGAGGAAGTTTCCTAAGAGGGCACTGTCCAAAACTCCAAATACAGCTTGGGAAGGCTTCATGGAGAAAGAGATCAATGTGACCTATGAAAGAGCAGCACAGTGGCAGGGGATGTCAGCTGAGCCCCACTCAGGGGAAATAAGGAATAAGGAGAGAAGCAGTGGAGCAGGGATCCTGGGCTTACTGATTCTTGATCCACTAACAATGGTCACCAGAACCAATGTCACATTACTCTTGTATAGTCTACCTCCTGCCATGTGCCCCACTCCCAGCCCCAGCTCCATATCCCAAGAAGAAAATCTGGGAAAGAACACCAGCAGCAGACTATGTTGGGGGCAAGTAAGACTGGTGAAGCTGTGGAAATAAGAAGAGGCATCCAGAGTGAGGGTGTAGCTATGAAGTTACTGGAGGGAAAAGTTAGGTTACTGAAGTCATAGGCAAGAAAACAAATGAAGGCAGAGACAGCAAAGTCTGGGGCTTACGTTCTGGAAAATCTCCAAAAATGTAGGGAAACTTGGAACAAAATGCTAAATAGAACTTTCAAAGATGAGTCATTTGTGATTCTCCAGAAAGGGTGGGAGGGCTTACCTCCCTAGGGGTTTGCATCAGGACACTTGCAAGTGGCAGGACAACTGCATGTTGAAACAGCTCCCTCAGCACACAAGTTGTTTTCACAAAAAGAAGCTACAGAAAGGAAAGCTTATAAACTCTTCAGAGTTGAAGAGCTACCAAGATTCAAAGTGCACATGGCATGAGAGAGGTATCAGCTTTACAAAAATGGAGAGCACCAAAATATTTATTTAACATGTATTTACTTAATGTCAGGCCTCGCTGATGAACTAACTGTGCTAGGAGTTGCAGCTGTATGTACAGTGTGATCTCCAGCCTTCCTGGTCAGGCAGAATCAAAGAAGGGTTTTGGGGAATCGAATCATCAACTTGTGTATTATTTCAGACCACCCCTAGCATACTCCCAACAATGTTATGCAGTCAGTCATTCGCCATTTGGGGAAGAAGCACCATCACTGTCCCCAAAATAGCTAAGTAATATTCAGACATTAATTTAAAGTTGCCCTTTAAGTGGACTGAGGGTCACTTGGTAGATTGAATTCAAATGTGCTAAATATTACTCAAGGGCACAAGAGCCCACAAAAGCAATTCAACCTCCACCTGGAGCAGTCTCCATTACTCTTCTGATACCATCAGTGGAATTTCCTGAAGAACCAGTATTTCAAAATTCCAAAGTACTGAAGAATTTCTATAAGGCAGCCAGTTCTCCAGGGCATCCTAAGATTTTTTGTTTCAGAATGGATACATAAATTCAGTCTATTTCCCATTTTTAATAGATTATGAACAAATGATTAGGGAGAATTAATTGTTCTATTACTCTTTAATCACAAAAAAAGTAAGAATTTATCAAGAAGGCACTACTTATGAAACAATTAAGAAGAGCAACTGACTTGGAGCCAAACAAATCTGTACAGCTGCTGGCTGGGTAATCTTGGACCTCTGTGTTTCATCTTCAAAATGGGAATAATAATGATATTTGTCTCACAGTTGATGTAAAAGTAAAATAAGATCACGTCTATACAGTCTAGTCCAGACCTCAGAGAATACTTGATAATTAATATGAAATAATTCTGCTATACCTTAAGTCTAACATTTGTTATGCTTATAAATAAATACTACTAGATGAGCATAACTTGTTCTTGGTATTGTCAGGTAGAGGTTTAAAGTCTCTCATTCATAATGACTAAATCCTAGCCTGCTGTATTTAAAACATCATTGTGCTTAGGCATACATTGTAATGACTATTTCAAGAAATATTCACCTCTTTTTCAGGATCTGGTATGAGGAGACTGACACTAAGACATAATTTGTTTCCATAAGCAAGTTAAGCCAGTTTACTAGCTATGGCTGATACCTGTGACAAAGGGTTGCTCTGAGTCACCTGATCTTGGAGCCCAGCAAGTTCCCTGAGAGCATGATGTTTTGGCAGGTAGGTATTCTGGGGAGGCAACTTGTTGACCAGAAAACTAACCCAAACCAGTGCCAATTAATGGAGGAAGGCACAGACCTCTCTGTGCAAGACAGCCCCTGGACGACTTCTGAAGTTCCAATGACCTTGTGAGAAAGATTAAAAAAACAACAATGAGGAACAGAGTGAACAAGTGGAGACAAGGTGATGTTTGCCTGCTTTCCTCCCATGCATGGTAGAGCAGGGGAGACCCCGAACCAAACTGGGTAGGGGGGTTCTGGAAGAGAGTCCCTGGAGGAGATAGGCTGTAGCCAGTGGTGACCTGCAGTCTTCTCCCCATTCCTAAAAGCAGCAGGCAGAAATGTTGAAATGCAAGAGCAGAGATATCCTGGACCATGCAAGAGGGCAACCTACCCAGCAACTGGAATAGAGCAGCTGGTCTGTTATTAAGATAAGGAAATGTTTTGTATCAGTTGTCATAAATCTCTGCCCTGAGGCCCCCACTGCCTATCCGTCACTCTAGCTGCCATGATCTCTCCTCCAGTAGCCCCTAGCCATCCCTAATATGCAGGAAGTACAGAGTTAACATATGTCACTGCAGGAGGCCTCCAGAACTTTTTCTTTGGTCTGGGCTAGTTATGAAATGTCTAAAGATCCCTGACAGAGGGAAACGCCCAACCCCAAAAGGGGGTTTATTGATCTTCATTGTCTCCAGGAGACAGAGGTGGAGTACCTACAGGATTGGGGAGGGGTCCAGGTGGGCTCTTGAGCTGAGGCCAGGCCACCTGGGTGAGAGATGTAGCCTCTGTGACCTTGGCTGTCATCTGATCCCCCAGCCACATTTCTCTTCCAAAGCCCAAGGCCCAGTTTCCTCAACTGTCCACCCAATTCTATATTTCCATTAATATCTGTCCCGATGCAAACACTGATTTCCAAGGGACAGCTCTGTTTATACTATTGGGTTACTACTGTCTCTCACAAGAACAAAAGTGAAGCAGCAGATCGCTCACCACATGCAGCATCAGCTTGGAGATTATGAAAACCACTCACGGCTGGCCAGCCTTTCCCAATCCACTCACCCACTACTCCGTCTCCATTTGAGGACTCTGGGCCTTCTTTCTTTCACTGATCTCGAACTAGGACAAACCTCCCACTTCAACCAAGAATGCCCCCAAAGTCTGAGACTTGGACATTAAAAACTACTTTCAATTCTTTGTCCTCTTTTATACTGAAAAATAACTCACCACTTACCACTAAGTTTTTAGAAATTAAACCAAAACCATATAGTTCTACAGCCAGTTAGGTCAGAGTGGAGAATAAGTCAGAATGGAGCATAAAGATAATGCTTGACAAGCCTCCCTCCATCTGACACATATGCATATATGGGCATACTCATTCTCCTCTAGAGGCAATCTTTAAGAAAAATATTTCTAAAACTGTTAGGAACTATTAACAGCCTGTTATGACAGCCAGTTTGTATAACTGCCTTGCAGCTATGAGTTTAAGCCAGATCTTTAAAAAGTCCATAGCTCTGTTTTTTTTAATGTGCAGCTACCTGAATTTTACACCTTGTTGGAGATATGGGAGACATTTTATAGTTGTGCTAAGGTTAGGTGATTACTGAAACACAAAAGGAGGCATAATTTCAGCACACTGTGTCCCCTAGGAGACAAGAGGCTTAGGAAGAAGCAAGTAAAATGTCCATGGAACAGAAACTGTTCATTCATCACTAGGTCGATTGGTTACCACAAATAATTTCTTTCCCTGTACAACACAGACCAGCAGGGTTGTCCCTGTTTCACTCAAGAGGAGAAGAGCAGACAGAGACCAGCTGTTTTATTGTGTATAGTCCCAATATCTGTTTCTAATAGCAAGACAACCCTGGATGGAAAATATACAAAGTAATTCAGCTGGCAAGAAATTAGAAGGAAATACCCAGACCCTTGCTTCCCAGTTAATGTATGACACCTTCTGAAGCTAATAATCAAACAGGAAAAGAGAACAAAGGATACTATATATAAATATAATTTTGATTTTCTTATCTGATTAGGTGGTTTTCTGTAATTGTTGGGTTTAATTTTAAAGAAATGCCTGTAAAACAGGAAATCAACTCCAGTACAAAAAATAAAGTCATGTGGAATTTTTGAAAACTGCCACACAGTAGAATTCCTATCCTAATTATAATGAAAATAGAATTCCTGTTTCTTAACTTAAAAAGAAGATATAGTATAAATCTCAACTTTGTTAGCATAGCTGAGCCTGATGTCAAAGTGGCGTATGAAGCAGATCATGGAGACAGCGGCCCCACAGGAGGGGCTGCATGAAGAGAGAGCAGAGGCAGGTGTGAAGGTCCCCAGCAACTGGGAGAGACTTACTTGGGAGTGCCGGTGGGTTTCCAGTACCTGCAGAAGAGGTACTGTCCATCAGCATTGACCAAATGAGGCAGGTCCTGGTACAGAACATTCTGTGGAGTTCGCCTGGGGGAACTTTCCTCTGGCATTCTGAAAGGATCTCCAAGTCCTTGGAAGAAAGGAGGAAATATTCCAAATCAGAAACATGGCAAAAACAGAGGAAAGCCTTGTCAGTAACATTTTTTTTTTTAAGCAGGTTTTTAAAAACTCCATTTCAAAGATTAAACAAACATATATATTTCTTGAACTCTCTCCAATACTGAAAAGTCTCATTTGTTCTTAAGAAAATGCTCACTTTATTTTTTTTAAATGCCTCATTACAGCTTCCCCCCCCCCCTTCCCATCTGTGTTTATTTTAAATCATTTCAGGAAACTTCATCTTAAAGGCTATTTTAGCTGTAATCAAGTGGAAATTATAGTTAGCTCTGTGGGTATAAAGACCCAGCTGCAAGAAAACCCAGCCATCTTCACATTTCCCAGGAAGTTTCAAGGGGCACGATATTGAGGTGATGGTGCTCCCATTAATTCCTCCTGCCTGAAATTCCAAAGATGCCGGGTGAACGAACCTGTTTCCATCTTGTCCTGGTTTTTGCATTCCACAACTACGATAGCCTGGAGAATCAGAGTCGAACACTTAAGGGCTGGTCCCTCATCACCGCGGTCACAGCGCGGCATCAAGCAGTGGGAGAGCCAGTCCCCTACCCCGCGTCCTGCCCTCAGATCCTGCTTTTTGGGCTTTAGGGTTGCAGAGCCCTGCAGCCTGCTTCCAGCTCTCACTGACAAGCTCTAGTTCCTGTCATCAGTTTGCCTAAGCAAATCGCCGAAGGGGCTCGGAAAAGGGAGGGGCCGGGAGCCCAGCATCCACTGCCAGAGAAACTGGGAAACGCTCAGCGCACACCGAGGCAGTGCGCACCCTGGGGCAGCTCGCACACGCACAAATGAGGGTCCCCGAGCTAAAGTCACCCCCGTGGCTCCTGACAAACTTTGTTTCCTGCCTGTATCCGACAGTGCAGGGAATGGAGTCCAGCAGTTGTCACTGGAAATGCCACGGCAAAAACCTGGCGACTTCGCCCTGGTCTCCGGGGACTGGGCAGTGGAGTTGATGTGGACAAGTTGGTCTGGGGGCTGGTGCAAGAGAGCGAGGAGGGCGCGCTCGCACACCCAGACACACATGCGCGCAGTCGTGCACACACGCGCGCGCACAAGAGGTGTAGGAGCCCACGCCCAGCGGGCCAGCGACCCCGAAGCTGCTCCCCACCTCTGGTGACGGCACTTGTAGGCTGGGGCGGGGACCGGGAGGCAGTTACCGGAGCCACGAGCGCCGCTGTTGCGTTCCGGAGTGCCGCAGGTTCCAGTCTGCAGCGGGCCAGGGTCGGGCTGAGCTGCGTGTCGCCGGCTCCGTGGCCACAGGGCGCGGTGACTGAGCCGCCACTTTATCCCTGGCCAGGCTGGCGGTGGGGGCGGCCCGCGGTGGGTGGGGAAACGGGAGACTGGCGGGCGGCGCGGGGAGGCGGCGCTCAGGGCCCACGTGTGCCTGGCCCACGGGGAGGAGCAGGAGCTCAGACCGTGAACTCCGTCACACTCTCCTCGCGCCTGCCTCGTGGGCTTCCACGCCCCAGGGTAGCCACTGGGGGACTGTCACAGGTCCCTGAATGGATCTAGACTCTCTGGAGCCTCAGCGCTGGAGGGCACACCACACCCATCCTCACGGATGCACGCACACAACGCAGGCACGCAAACCCACACACATAGGGACACACACACCACACACAGAGACAGCACATACACAAAGACAGACACATGCCATCCACAGAGACACACAGACCCACATAGATACACAGAGAGGAACATGTATGCAGAGAGACACACACTCAGAGACACCCCACACAGATACACACATATACATACCCAGGCATACATACATCATACACATATGGGCAGACACTCGTATCACACACACACATACAGGCACACTCACATCCACACAGTCACACACAGTCTGATATACAAATAAAAAGTTGGTATGTGTGGGGGTGCAAAAAACCCCTAGGAAGCAGGAAAGAGGCAGGCTGGTGTAAGCCTTCTTCCTCCCTCCGCATCCCCAGCAACCCTCCCATGCCCCAGGAGTCAGGTCCCCAAACAAAATCTCTGCTGCATCTACATTGGCCAGGAAAAAGTCTGAAAGCTGTCCAAGACAACAAGCGATGTAGCTTGAAGGGGTACAAGATGGAGCATTGGACTTAGAGTCCAGACTACCTGGGTTCACATTTGCCCTGTGACCCTCAATCTCATTTCCTGCAACTCAGGAATGACACTACTTATGTCCCCATGGAGTGTGCGTGACACACGTCCTCTTCTCACACTGACCTCAGCAGGCCTTTGTTTCCTTCCTTCTTTCACAAAAAACTTTACACCATAACAGTGTTGGAAAGAACTGTTGTCCTCCAGAAACTGCTGGCTCAATATCATACTGTGTGGGGAGGCCCAGGCTTAGAGTCTGAGATCTAATTTAAGAAATAAAACAATAGCCTTTGAGAAGCAGCTTAGAACATTTTCAGCCATTATTTCTTCAAGTACTTTTTCAGCCCTACCATCTTGTCTCTTCTCCTTTTGAACTTTAATAATATGTATGTTAGAACTTTCATTGTAGCTCCATAGGTCCCTGAGGCTCTATTCATTTTTTTCCCAATCTATTTTCTCTCTGTTGCCCAACAGATAATTTCTATTGTTCTATCTTCCAGGTTACTGATTCTTTCCTCTGTCCCCACCATTCTGCTTTTGAACCCCTCCAATGAACTTTTAATTCAGTTATTATGTTTTTCAGTACCAAAATATCCATTTGGGTCATCTTTAGCTTTTCTCTTCCTCTGCTGAGAACTTCCCATTTTTTCTTAGTTTCAGGCACATTCACAATTGCTCATTAACGCATTTTTATCATAGCTGCTTTAAAAATCTCTTCTTTCTGTTGGCGTCTATTCACTTTTTTAAAATTCAATTTTAGATCTCTCCGATTCTTATTAAGATGTGTGATTTTTCTTTTGAAACCTGGACCTTTTTTTGGTAATGTTATAAGACTCTGGATCTCATTTAAACCTCATGTTTCATCTGGCCTCCTCTGCTCCAGGCCTGGAGTTTGGGGACTGGGTGGGGGTGGGGATCTGCCTCATTCTTTCCAGGTAGAGATAAAAGCGTAGATCTCCCATTCAACCTATGTGGTATGGGCCCTCTGATACTTGACTGATGTAGAAAGGTTAATATCTGAAAGTTTTCTGTCTTGCCCAGTTTTCCCTCTTCTGGTCTTTTGGCTGGAAAGAGCAAGCTTTTGTTGGGTACTCTCTGGTATGTCCCCATGGCATTTATGGGTTCAGCTCCAAGTCTGGAATATATGAGGCAAAGTAAAATTCAGGGACCTCACCACCATGTTGTTTGTTGGGTTTCAGCTTCCGAGACTGATCTGCCTTTTTTTTTCTACCTTTTAGAGCCTCCTTATGTTTGTTTTAATACAATGTCCAAGGCTTTTAGTTGTACTTTGCTAGAGTGATAGGGACAAGCACGTCTCCTCTGCCTATGCAGATACAGAAGTTTGGCTAGCTATTTCAGTGCTCCACTGACTAACTGCATAATTTTTCAGAGAGTTACCTGGCTGACCTCCCTCCTTGCCTAACACAAGAGAATATGGCTACTCCTCCAGCCCTTGGCCAAGATCAGTTAAGATCATATCTATGGGGCACTCAGCACAACCCCCCAGGTCAACAGCTTGGTGGCCGTGATGTCAAATCTGATCCAAGAGAAAAGTACTTTTTGCCTGATAAATTTTTAATGTTAATTTTAAAAATTAGTGCTTTTGTATGTAAATCCAGGTTCCTAGACTTCTTGAATTGCAGAGGGGTATGGTCACTTAGTGCCATGGTGTCAGCCATGTTGAGCATGAGGTGTCTATACAAGGGAATGGATTTGTGGGTCTGTAAGCAAAGAAAAAAATCAGGCTGGAGGCATAGTAGTTGGCCCATAAATGGTCTCTGCATCTGTGGGAGAGGGTGCCCTCACCCCAGGAGAGTAGGCAGGTAGATGTGGCTTGACAATCTGTATACTGCATCCGGCCAGCAGGAGGTTTAGCTTGGCCTACACAGTGCTTTCAAAATATTTGAGTCAATAGCCAACATTTAAAAATCAGGATGTTTCATGTAACAGTCCTGGTTTCTGGATTTCCTCTGAAAGGACAAAGGCCTGGCAACAAGGGGCCACTTTTGTGCCAGGCGTTGGTCTGTACAATGGCTGGGTGGAGGCTGCCCTCTTCAGGTGGTATCTGCATCTGCTCATCTGCCTACCTTTCTACTGTGCTCACCTCCAAAATGCTAATCCTTGAGTTTTTGGTTTGCTTTACTGGGTTGGAACAGGAAGGAGGAGGAATATGTTTTGATGGTGGTGGGCAGGGTATGACATGTAAATCCTGACATTTTGAGTTCTCTGGGACATCCAGGTAGAGGCATTGTGGTCATTACAGGTGCAGTGTGAGACTAAGGATAGAGATGAAAATTGGGAAGTAATAGGTGATTGGTATCATGAGAATGAGTTAGATTGCCCATGACATGTAAACTGGAGGAAGAAATGGGCCTAGAAGAGATCCTTGTGAGGATAAGGGGAAGGAGGAAAAGAAGGAGGAGATGAGTTGTCAAAGGTAATAGAGACAAAGGAGGAGACCTGGAAGGTGTGATTTCAGTAATCCAAAGGCACAGCATTTTGGAAGAAAAAGGACTAACAAAGGCTAATGCTGCCCAGAAGTCAAAGAGGTCTAAGATATATCCCATAGATTTAATAACAAGGAAGTTATTTGTGACCTTGGGGAGAACCTAGTTCATGGATTAATCAGGGCAGAAGACAGCCTGCTGTGAGTTATAAAGTGAGTGGAAAATAAGTGGCAACCTCAATTTGACACCCCTTCAAGATGTTTTCTATGAACAGGAAGCAGTAGAGAATGTTCGCAAAGTTTATGGATTTCAGAGCCAGACAGCCTTCTTTCAATCCTGGCTCTGTTAACTGCAGCTCCACAGTCTTGAGCAGTTGATATACCCTCTTTATGACTCTACCGAGCAGGTTAATTACCTAGCACAATGCCTGGCACCTGGTAGATAGGATGCAATAAAATCTCCCCATTATTAGATTAAAGTAATATATACATATGTTCAATATTCCAATGAGAACTAAAAAGTTAACAATGAATTGTGAGCCTTCTTCCCATTCTGTGCCATGGTTCCTGTCCACAGAAGCAACCAACCCTGCAGGTTCTTGTGTGGCCTTCCAGAGTTTCTCTGAGGTTTGTTCTATCAATGGCCTTTGTGAACAGTCTCTCTGTCCCTGTGTCATTTGCACTGTGCTTTTGCAGCTATTTCCATAAAGAGGTGGAGTCTCCTTTCCCCTCTCTTGAATCTGGGTTGGCCTGGTAACTTACCCTGGCCAATAGAATGTGGTGGAAGTGACACTAAGCCCAGTCCATGCCCAGGCGTCTAAGGCCTGACATGCTTCCTCTTACTCCCACTTTTCTCTACTATGTGAACCAGCCTGACCAGCTCAATTGAGCAATGACTGAGGCATGTGGATGTTGAGACAGATGGAAGAAGCTGATGCTCCCCAGCAGACAAGAAGCCAACCTCCATCTACTCAGCTGACCTGAAGTTGCTGGTAGATGCCTGAAGGTATCCAGCTGGGACTGAAAGAACCACCCAGTTAAGCCCAGCTCTGATCTGCTGACCCACAGCATCATGAGCTAAATAACTGGTTGTTGTTTTAAGCCATTCAGTTTTGGGATAGCTTGTTATGCAGCAATATTTAACTGATGCAGCTTGTCACCATTACATTTGCCATCTTACAACTTCAAGTTATACTTTCTCCATAATCATTGTGGGACCTGGCAGAAAGGAT